AAACCTCGCTGTTCCCGCATCTTAAGTTAGCCTATCAGCTAAAGACACATCGTATGATTTGTGGTGAACAAATATAGGCGATTGTAAGAGTGAAATGTTGTCAGAATTCGACTCCCACAATGACGCTGACTGTTAGTTAAATAAATATATAATATATATACAATAAATAAATAAATAAATATATATATATTAATGGCATGATGTTAGCAGTGATAGGGATCGGGAATTCGGCATAGAAAGTCACATTCATCACATTTGAGTGAGCACTCACGAATCAATCGGGACTTTTGCTTCGCTGGTCCGTATGTATGATTGGCTAATAGCTATCTACACGTTTGACTGTATATTGTCTAGATTGGTTTATGGTGACACGCATGGATACCGATATACTTCTGAATCGTTCATCCACCCACGTGGGTTATTTAGTCAAAGCATCTAGATTGTCCAATCACTTAACATGGATTATCCAGTCGATACAGCTGGATTGTCCAGTCACTACAGCTGGATTGCCCAGTCACTACATCTGGATTGTCCAGTCACTGCAGCTGGATTGTCCAGTCAATACATCTGGATTGTCCGGTCACTACATCTGGATTGTCCGGTCACTACAGCTGGATTGTCCAGTCAATACATCTGGATTGTCCGATCACTACATCTGGATTGTCCAGTCAATACAGCTGGATTGTCTGGTCACTACAGCTGGATTGTCCGGTCACTACAGCTGGATTGCCCAGTCACTACATTTGGATTGTCCGGTCACTGCAGCTGGATTGTCCAGTCAATACATCTGGATTGTCTAGTCAATACAGCTGGATTGTCCGGTCACTACAGCTGGATTGCCCAGTCACTACATCTGGATTGTCCGGTCACTACAGCTGGATTGTCCGGTCACTACAGCTGGATTGTCCAGTTACTACATCTGGATTGTCTAGTCAATACAGCTGGATTGTCCAGTCACTACAGCTGGATTGTCCGGTCACTACAGCTGGATTGTCCGGTTACTACAGCTGGATTGTCCGGTCACTACAGCTGGATTGTCCGGTTACTACAGCTGGATTGTCCGGTCACTACAGCTGGATTGTCCGGTCACTACAGCTGGATTGTCCGGTCACTACAGCTGGATTGTCCAGGGACTACATCTGGATTGTCTAGTCAATATAGCTGGATTGTCCAGTGACTACATCTGGATTGTCTAGTCAATACAGCTGGATTGTCCAGTGACTACATCTGGATTGCCAAGTCACTACATCTGGATTGTCCGGTTACTGCAGCCGGATTGTCCAGTCAATACAGCTGGATTGTCCAGTCACTACATCTGGATTGTCCGGTCACTACAGCTGGATTGTCCAGTCACTACATCTGGATTGTCCGGTCACTGCAGCTGGATTGTCCAGTCAATACAGCTGGATTGTCCGGTCACTACATCTGGATTGTCCAGTGACTACATCTAGATTGTGCAGTCAATACATCTGGATTGTCCAGTCACTACATCTGGATTGTCCGGTCACTGCAGCTGGATTGTCCGGTCACTACAGCTGGATTGTCCAGTGACTACATCTGGATTGTCTAGTCAATACAGCTGGATTGTCCAGTCACTATAGCTGGATTGCCCAGTCACTACAGCAGGATTGCCAAGTCACTACATCTGGATTGTCCGGTCACTGCAGCTGGATTGTCCAGTCAATACAGCTGGATTGTCCAGTTACTACATCTGGATTGTCCAGTCACTACAGCTAGATTGTCCAGTCACTACACATGGATTGTCTAGTCATTACACCTGGATTGTCCAGTCGCTACACTTCGATTGTCCAGTCACTACAGCTGTGTTATTTAGTTACTACACCTCTATTGTCCCTGCCACTGAATCTGAATTGACCAGTCACTGCGTCTGGATTGCTGGAATGTTGAGTGCGTTGTTAGGCAATACGTATTGAAGTTTTGGGAGGCAACGAGGAGAATATACTAACGTTTTTATTTCACACTAACATCCACGATTAGTAACCTATATGTTCCAGGAATCTATAATATGCTCGCTTATATAGCAAAGCGTGCGTATTGTTATTTTATGCTATATACGCTTTCGTAAAATAAGATTCGCAGAGCAGGGACCCTAGCTTACAATACCGAATATTCCACCGTCGCAACTTACTATATTTCGCATCTTATTCGATATATCTTTTTGTGTTTCTACAGAGGTTTCCTGATACGGAAAGCAAGGCAGCTCAGGAGAGCGAGCGAGCGAGGAAGAGAAAGAGAGAGAGATACTAAAAAAGAGAGAGAGAGAGAGAGAAAAAGAGAGAGAGAGAGTGAGAGACAGAGAGATACTGAAAGAGAGAAAGAGTGAGAGAGAGAGAGACAGAGAGAGAAAGAGAGAAATAGAGAGAAAGAGAGAGAGAGAGAGCAGATCGGACAAGCAAGGACGAGCTAGCGATCACCAGCAAGCTTCTGTGGCAATAGTCGCAGGAAGGCGTTGTCACTCGCTCATCTGCGCATGGCCCTACTACCGCCAGGTTAACGCACCACGTGAAATGTTTACCAACATGGCCGAGCTCGACACTGCTTCGATCAAGGTCACGTTCGACTGCGAGGCGTCCGGCACGGTGGCAATACCCGTGGCGAAGAAGAAGATACAGAAGCAGAAAACAATCTCATTCCTCGTCCAGACCTCTCTGCAGAACACCCTCGGCTTGAATAACATGCAACTCGACTTTGTGAGTACTCAGTGGAAGAGCTGCCCGAACTTAACACAGAGTCGTTGCGAGGCGCAAGATAGGTAGGTAAAATGTGCGCATGCGTTGCATGGCAGATGTAATTAAGTTCGTATGAACATATCGCTATGCAAACCTTGACGTAATTACGTGCTGAAGTACACCGTACAGCAATTAACATGAATTAAGCACTCCCGATGGAGGGCTGGAGGGCGGTGGTAAATCTACACTTTGTTATTACTAAAGTCGCATGAAAATAAAATATATAAATAAACAATTAATTAATTAGTTAATTAACAAATAATTTTTTTTTTCAATTTTATTATAATTACATTTTCGGAATATCTCGAATTATTCATCATGGTTTTCGTGAATTCAACGGTAATTCGTATTTAGTTCGTGACAAATCTATTAAAAGCAGAGCAAAATTATTACACGTTTTTTCAACTCTACGAGATAAGCGATCTGACACAGCGAACAGACGAGCGACCGACCAGTCTCAAACAACCCAATGCGATTCGCTCGCGCGTCACTTCTAAGCTCGCTAATGAGCTTGCCATATAAAGGAAAGCAATAAGCGCTCAACTACGGCACGATAATGGCGCTCTTGTTCGCTTTATGATAGCAGACAGAGGGTACGCCTCGCGGCGTCGTTCTCCTGGAATCCCATGCAGAGCGGCCAGACATGCGCGCCGTATTCGAGTCAGTACATCGGTAAGGTTCCCGTGCCAGACCTGCTAGACAGCTTTATAACGGCGAGAACACGGACCGGCACAGCTCAGAGCGACTACTGCAGCAGCGCACCGTACGCCGGAATGTTGTCTTCATCTCCGACAGATGGCACGCCAGGTCTCTCAGGTGAATTACCGATGTATGAAACTTAATACGAAGTAATGTACGCACGAACGAGCCACGCACAGTATAATAAAATGCGATATAGATAGATTTGGCAGAGAAACTGACTGCGTTAAATGTCGACTTCTACTCTGTATCCTAGACGTTGGGATAGCGTTAGCGGCGGGGTAGGTGGCGGTGGGGGGATTAGAGGGAAATACAGCCCTACACCAATAAATTATGCCCTATAGTTTGTTTTATAATTTGACGCTATTCTACGATATTAGTTTTAGGTAGCCTTTGGCTCTCTATTTGCTACCGTCTACCGTCAGGGGATCTTAGCCCATGCACCTGCATTACCGTCGTGAACCGTAATTAGCTCTTGTGTCGAACAATCTCTCATGCATAGATCCAAAAGTGCTTGACATGCCACTATATGGTATCATTGAACCCACGAGACATGTAGACATTGCGTGTATGCTAGCTAGATATTGGACAATATGAATGAATATTTTTAGTCATGTAACTGGTATGATGTGGAACGGTTAGTACGTTTAGCAAGATATGATTTTGAAATTTTACGGACAGGTTTAATGCCTTCGCATCTGCTTTATGTCTTGAATAGTGCCAGAAACGGAAACAACACGACATATCACACCATCAGGGCACGATGGTTGGAACGACCGAATAAACAGTCATACCTCGGCCTATAATAGACTTTCCTTGCCGTTAGATGGCGTAGCAGTTAACAAAGTCAAAGCTTCCCACGCGACCTTTGAAGACATGTCGGAGAAAAAATATCAGGTAACATATGGATGGATGGATGGATGGATGGATGGATGGATGAATGGATGGATGGATGGATGGATGGATGGATGGATGGATGGATGGATAGATGGATGGATGAATGGATGCATAGATGGATGGATGGATGGATGGATGGATGGATGGATGGACGGACGGACGGACGGATTGAGGGATGGATAAATGGATAGATGGATAGATGGATGGATGATGATGGATGGATGGATGTGTGGATGGATGATGATGGATGGATGGGATGGATGGATGGTATGGATGGATGGACGATGGATGGATGGATGGATGAGAGTGGATGGATGATGGTGGATGGACTGGATGGATGGATGGAATGGATGGATGGATGGATGGATGCGATTGGATGGATGGATGGATGGATGGATGGATGGATGGATAGATGGATGGATGGATTGAGGGATGGATAAATGGATAGATGGATAGATGGATAGATGGATGGGTGGAATGGTAGATGGATAGATGGATGGACGGATGGACGGACGGACGAACGGACGGACGGACGGACGGACGAACCGACGGACGGACGGACGGACGGACGGACGGACCGGTGGGTGGATGGATGGATTGCTGGATGGGTGGAAGGAAGGATGGATGGATGGATGATGGATAGAAGGAAGGAAGGATGGATGGATAATGGATGCATAGATGGATAGATATGAATGGATGGATGGATAAATAAATGAATGAATGAATAGATGAATGGATGGATGATCAGGCAGACGAAACGAGGGATTGACAAACGGACGAACCAACAGATAGACGAACACCCAGACTAATGTATCAGTAACTCATGTTTGTTGCCAATGATTCCAACGAACAGGAACTCACAAAGAAGACCTTCTATCGCGACGAGTGCTGCTCGCAAGTTCTCGACTTCCTCTTCATCGGCAACATCGAGGCCGCTTACAACGAGCACCTACTCTGCAAGAGGGTCATCGAGAGCATTGTCGATATGTCCAACCTCGAGCCGCACCAGATCCCGCGACACCGCAAGAGCGACTGTCCGTGCACCTGCCCGCTGGAGACGTCTCACCCGCGCGCGAGGCTCTGGCTCGGCGTCGACGACCACGAGCGTAGCGACGTGATGCCCTACTTCGAAGACATCTCCGTCTTCATCGAGGCGGCGCGCCGTAAGGACAAGAACGTGCTCGTGCACAGCCTCGACGGCAAGTCACGCGCAGTCTGCGGCGTCATACAGTACCTGATGAAGTACCATGATATGAATCTGCGGCGCGCCTACACGCTGCTCAAGCGCCGCTGGCCGCTCATCAACATGAACAGAGGCTTCCAGCGCACGCTAGAGGTGTGGGAGCGCCGGCTGCTGCCCGGAGTGCCTCCGTCGATGCTATTCGGCGAGGAGAACAACAGTCAGAAGGCGTGGCAATGACACGATAGTAAGAAAATAGCATCTCGATCTCAGATGCTGTTGCATCTCTAGTCGCTCTCGTTGCGATGACTGCTGGAGAGGGTGATATGTGAAAAATGCGTTCGTCTTCGAAACATTTTTCTTTCTACGAGCTGAATGTTTACGTATTTTATCGTGCGATTTCTTCGCTGGCCTACAGCCCAGCGAAGCGTGAATCGAGCGTGAATATGAGCGTGAATCGAATTAGCGTGTGTTTAGCATTCAAAATCGCATTTTCTGGATGAAAAGCCGCCATAAACCTTTGTATAAACACAACAATTTCGCTACTACTTTTACCGCCATTACACTTTTACTACCAACACTGTATTTACTACCTTTACAGACTACCATTGACATTACCACGTAAAATTTCTCAAAAACGATACGTTTAGGACAAACAAGTCTTGTGAAGTGATGAATGTAGTTATCAAAATTTAAATAAACCGCCATGTCTGTCTGTTCAAAATTTACTTGAGCATGCGCAGATGGCACAGCAACAGTGTCACTGGAGGATCAGATTAGTGCACGTACACTAATCTGTGATTATACTTTGTGCAACAACGAAATTTAAATTTAGTTTGCAAGCTGGATAGTAAAGGCCCATTCAGAAAATTAACAAATTGATTTTACTTAACAGATTTTGGCATAGTGATACGAATTTCGGCTTATTTACATATTATTTTGTATGCAAGAGATGCGCACAGATAAGTAGGCAGAGATATCGAGTCACTGTAAAAATATTACTCCACACAAAAACATGCATGGCATGCTTTTCCTGATGTAAACATTGGAATACAAGGTTTGAACAAGACAGCTTTTGTGTGGAGTCTATCTAAAAAAAACATTTTTGAACACAAAATGAATACTACTTTTAATAGATACATTGACGGATTTTGGAGGGAAACGCATATAATAATAAATAATATAAACGAAAGCTATACGCAATAGATTTCGGCTGAACAAATAGTATTTTTGTATAGATCACGTTCAATGAGGCTTGAGGCGTGAGGGGTCAGAGCGATGACGTTGTAAGCCAGGTCGATATGATACAATACAGCTAAAGCGCCCATTTCCATAACGACAAGCTCATCGGGACTTGTGAGACAAACAATGATATCCGCTAGGAGGCGCGTCAAACTGTCAAATGAAAGTCACCTAACTTGGCTTGAACGGGTATGTGAACTTTCAGATTTTAACGTATCATGATCGATCATTGGTGCGATATGGTAGTCGCCTTCATGATACGTCTTAACACGTATATATATATATATATATATATATATATATATATATATATATATATAATATATATAGATATATATTATATATATAATATATGCCTGGTTAGAGGTGTAACGATACACTAGGTAACGATACGATATGTATCGTGATATTATACAGACAGAAAGACACAGTCGACTAAATGGTCAAATACTAATGTTATTTTACTGTTATAATAATGGAGATTCAATTCATTTCATAACACATTTATTTCATTTCATTTATTACGAGTATGTCAAATCCATAGAAATATATAGTAAGACCAATGTCAGTTACTATATATATATATATATATATGCAGGTAGTAGATAATAGGAAGAGTGTGAGCAGTCGATAAACTATTAGGGAAATTCCGTCATTTACTACCTGAACAATACCTACGATTTACTCTACGCGTAACTCATCCAACTTGAGGCTCAAATCACGTCACACCAGTACATTTTCGGCCTAAGCATCGGCCGAAACAATGCGTTTCCG